CAGTATTTCTTCAATATTTGTTTTCCTAGGACCTTTTCTTTCCACTGTCTTTGACTGAAGTTATTTTTTTCTGCCTGCAGTTGGGAAGGTGGGCAGGGTGAGGTGGTATATCGGCTCTAACATCACTAATGCAGAATGGAAGGGTGAGGTGGGTGATTGGAAAATGCAACTACTACTTGGTCCTCCAGCCCCCGTGTCGTATATTGTCAGTGTCACCGCAAGTCACACTTACTCATTGCCTGGTAACACCCTGCTGGAGTATTACCTGTACATTATTTAGAAATTGCTCTGGCATGTCCCAGTGACCCTGGTACAGAAGCACTTTCTTCAACCATCAACAGAGTATGTACCTACTCTCCACCGTTTTCACTGTGGTGCACCTCACATCCTGCCCCTCATTCCTCACAGAGTGACTGCTGAAATCATCATAGCCTAAAACTGAGAAGACTGAGAATGCCTTGTATTGCACTGCAGACTGAGCTATGTTTCATAATTCATCTGAAAATAAAAATTTTCTCTTATGCAAGGAAGGCAACCCTTTTTTCTTATTGAAGTGAAAGTATAGACTCAAAATTCTGAGGCAAATTCTTTTGACATGATGAATAGCCCTTTTTAGACAATGATATTGCTGTCGAATGATATGTCTTCAGAATAGAAAGAGAAGATGATAATGTCAGCTTGGCAAAATGTCACTAGCATTAAAAACAAAAATCAGATATAAACATCATAGAAACTGGAAGCCATCAAAGATGAGGAAAAGGAAACATTATTTTACAGTAGAATCATTTTGCTAAAACTAATACTGCAGTCACAGAGGACACAAAGGATGCTACTAATGCTTTTTCCTCCACAACCATAATGAAAGAGTTACGATGGCAAGGCACAAAGAGCCAGACCCACAAAGATATATAGCTGCCCAATTCGAATTTAAGCACCTATATCCCAGACACAGTTAATATTCGACATTAGTTCTGTCTGGTTCGCCTCACTGTGAAAGACAAATCAGCTTACCTCTCCTTAGTGAACTCTATTTTACCTTAAAGTTTGTTGTGATGGAAGCAAACTTCTTATCTGCTGTCTCAGGATTGCCAATAAAGTAGTCTCAGCTTGTGAACATTTTCCAGCTGAAATTAAAACTAGCATCATCCCCACCACCATCTTCATTTGCATTTCTTGCCATTCTACAAAAGCCAGAAAGACACAAAAAGGCCCTATTAGAACTAGTTTTGCTATCTGAGCTTAATTTCCAAATTGCTCCTGAAATTCTAACTTTGTTCTTAAAGAACTACATTGTTATTGCTGTCAGTCATGTTATACTAAATCCAGAAAGTTCAGTTTGAAACTAGAATGGAGAAAGATGGAGAAAGGATTTTCATTTTTTTAGACAATTCATGTCATCACCACACACATTTTTATGTGCTTCTTTCATTAGCACTGCAGAGAAACTCTGCTGGATGAGAAACTCAATAGAAAACGATGTCAAGATCTCTCAAATAGAAAGCTGCAGAACATCCTGAACTGCTGTAGATATGATTAGAGACTTCACAAAGAGAAAAAAATAAATCTAAAATACCTAGCCAGAACAAAAGCTGGTCATACTAAACCAAGAAATCACTAATATGGCTTTCTATCTTGCCTTTCATCTCCTATGCACTTATAAATAAGATTTATAACAGTATCCACAAACACCAAATTATTTCCTCAGTGATTTGACTTTATCTAGACTACTAAATTCTCTATTTCAAGGTGTAATAACATGCATTTTGCATATATATATATACACAAAAAAATTGTATGTATATATTATATATACACTCACACACACATGCAGTGCACATATTATATATAAAACAATAATTCATGCAATAACAGTTGTCTGCATATTTTATCATTTAATTCAACTCATTAAGCACAAGGGTGGAATATATTGGTAGAGTATAAACCATTTAGCCCTGGTTCTGCATTGATTTATTGCTCAGGAAAATGCAACTTTTTAAAGTTGACTAATGCAGCAGAGTTATGTTATTAAAACCAATATGTTCTAAACATCATGTTTCTAACATCCCAGTGAAATATATATTCTCAAATATAGTCAGAGAACAATAAGTAAATAATACAACCAATCCTGAGCTGGCATAAACCCATGCCACTATTTTTGTTGTTACTGCTTAAATATGGAAGGGACAAGGATCATGAAAGGGTACTGGGGGGATCTGCCCCACTGCTGCTTTCTAGACTAAGATATTTCCTTCTCAAGAGTTTCTAGCAAAATAGCAAACAATCCAGTGGTTAGAAAATCTATTTCTTAGAAAGAACCAGGCCAAAATGACGGTTGACAAGTGTATAACAGGAATTTGGATATTTAACTGCATATTTGTGTTTACTATTGCCATTCAGCATGGCAGTATAACTGGGTGTTAGTGTATATAGATAGTATAACTTAGGTAGGTAATTTTGAGAATGAGACTAGATATGTTAGGTACATATTCAGTGTTCAGATTCTCCAGCACACTGCTCCATCTTAAATTGTTTCATACGTCATACCTTCTATCATTTTTGGATATAAAGATGCCCTTTTTATTTGGAAATATTCAGGGAAATGCTCTCTAAAATCATATTTCACAACATCTGATCTGAACAACATGGAATCTAAATGTTGCCCTCAGTTAAATAAAATTAATTCCAACTAATGGGTTTATATTAACAATTACTGAGGTTTAAGCAGAGAAAGGAGTTAAAACCTTCTTCAAAACTTCCTTCATTTCAGTTTCTCGAAACGACGTCTCTGTGATGAGTCGAGGACACAGCGTGATGAGGGCTCTTTGCAGCGAGGCTACGCGCAGGTGGAAAGACAGCAGCAACAGGAGTGCCTGAAGGAGTCATGCAGGGTGATGGAGTCAGTAGACCTCCCTTGGAATTAAAACGGATAACTTTGAGACCAGAAATATTTCCGCTTTATACTATGCACTGGAAGGGTTGCAGAGAGGAGCCCTAAATCTAAATGTTTTCCCCAAACATAGTAATACTCCTTGTACTTCTTGCTCCCTCTTGCATGCAGACATCCCCTTTCCCAGGTCTCAATCATGCACAGGACAACGTTAGCACTCCCTGGTATACTGCCTTTTAGCCTGTGTGCCAACTGTGCTGCTTTCTGGGGAAATGGCAACGGGCAGAAGATTTTAAGAACTGCTCTTAAGATTACCTAAATATAGATCAGCACTCGTGTTATGTGGCCAGATGGAAAGTCAGTACATACAGTATAGGTTTTCCCAAGGGTATTTCCTTTGTTTGGGCCTTAGGGATTCTCTGCTGGAAGGATTTTTTTTCCTGGTCTGGGTGGCAGTCATTGAAATATAATTCTCTGAGACTAAGCCATTTCTAACCTTCACAGCTAAGCTATCGAAGAAATATTTTAAAAGACATTCTCCAGCTAAACCAATGACTTTTGCTCTGAAGTAGGTTGTTCTTTCTCCAAATATACACGTGTAATTGAAAACATTTTTTTCCTTCCAAATTGTCTCTTGCCCTAAGCAGGAAACCATGAATTATTTGAAAAATAGAACATGAATTAATCTAACGCTCATGAAAGTGAAAAATACTGGCTTCAGCACACTACAGTGCAAATAGATTGTCTGCAATTTTCTACTCTATATTCACAAGTGTCCTTGAATCTTAACCTTCAATGTTCTGATTTTTTTTCACCCTAGGCATATTCTAAAGCCACCTTACCACCAAACTGCATTTATTGTGATAGGTGGTTGTCTCACTTGAACTAAGGATATTAAAGATTATATTCACTAGCGACATATCTCCTCTGAAACTAGCAGAATTACCACAGTTTATTCCAATAGTGAAACTGGCTATAAAGTATGACTGAATAAGTATTCTTTTTAATTCTGATCCTAGGACAAAATTCAAGCCCAGAATGCAAGAACCAAAAGGCTAATGTCTCACCAATTGTACTGCCTAAGCCCTGTTTCACTTACCCATATGCTTCCTACTATTTTTAATATTATGTTGTTAACATTATATTAAATATAGTTTTCTTGAGGAAAACACTGTTGGAGATTATTTTGTCTGCCATAGGACACAAAGCCTTTACATATTCCATGTTTTTTTGTTTAATAGAAATTCTCAGTAGTCGACACTGGAATTATCTTTCTTTTAACATGTGCTTTACTCCAGAGCCAAAGAGAACTTACGTTCGAATGACAATCATAAAGCTGTAGCCAATAGTCCCAACTCCAACAAGGAAATAGGAAAGAGCTATCCTGAACTTTAGCCATCCAATTGTCCTCTGGTTATTGTAATAACCATAAAAGAGCACAGAATACTGTGCAAAGCCCTGAAAAGCCAAAAAAAAAATAATTAGGTAACATCATCTGCCTGTTAAACATGCACATAACCAGAAATTCTGCCAATAGCAATGAGTTGAAACATGCATTTCCATGCATTCGAAACAGCATCCCTATAATAAATCTCAAAGGATAGAAAAATTCTCCTTTTGAAGTTTTTTAAATGACTTCTTTGACTATTTCATGTTGATTTTCAAATCTCTTATCTTTAAACTCTTCATGGGCACTCCATCTACAGTTTAATGAGTCAAAACTTTTTCATCCACATACTTTTTGGTGTAAAGACAAATATATTTTGTTTTACAAAATTTTTTTCACAAAGTATGAAAGTATGAAAAGTATGAAAGTAATTTCAACAAAAATATCAGATTAGTAACTTGTTTTCCACATTTCTAAAATTTCCTTGCATATCCTGTTTGGTATAACATTCTCATACACTTTCTCCCCACACTACTGTGTCTATAAATGCTGTTTGCTGTTCACAGGTGATATACATTATTCAACAGGTAGCTGCATTTTATTGGATGACTATTCTGTATGCACATTTTTTTTACTGCCTAGACTTCATGGCTATAAAAATTGCAATGTAAGTGTATCATCTTTTTCAGCAATTTAAAGTTTATTCCCTTTTTTAAAAACCTTAATGTGAATGACCCTCTCTTCTTTGGGTCAGATTGTTGATTTTTCGAAATAATTTACTGGTGTATGGTCAAATATAGCCAATTTCTGGTATCTAAAAGTAATCAAAATAGCTAAAGCTTCTTGATAATCTTCAGGTTACAGCAAGAATTCACCATCCTAGAAGAACACCATATTCAAAAACCTTTACAAGGACAGCTCCGCACATGCCCAGCAGTGGCAAAGCTCTGGCTGGACATAATGAATTCAAGTCAAACACAGCGTTCAGTGAAAATGTAATTGATATATAGATTTGAGCATTTTAACACTAATACAGTAAGCTGAGGCTCTCCTGAGTTAAAAGTCATTCACTTCCCTTCTATTGTTAGCATTTCTTAAAATAAATCCTTTAGATTGTAATGCCAATAGATTAACATCCTTGTATATTATTACAAGACACGCATTTGATTTATTGTAGCTCTTACTATATCTGAAACAAGTCATGGTGTTATCTGCAAAACCTCATTTGCAATTCTTGTTAAGGTGAAAATGAAATATTAATAGATGATAAATGTAAACAGTATTCAAAATGTCTTGATTTGGTAATCAATATATCTCATTTTCATTCATATCAGGCTAACTTTTAGAGATGTGCATACACATCACTGATAATAGTATTTGCTTCTATAAGGGAAAATTATTAAAGGAAAATATTATTAAAGAACAAATTTTTTGCTAATTACTAGTAGAACACCTACACTGATCAGGACACACTCAGATTCAATAGTTTGCTTTTTGCATCTTTATGTTTATTACAGCATCTTATAATTCCATGTTAACCTGGGTTTCTGTACTGCCAGTGCAGTTCTGGAAAGGCTTTTGGATCCCTCAGAGTATTAAAATATCTTTCAAGTCACTGTGCTCTGTCAAGTCAGAGATAATCCCTCTACTAGTGCAGCTCCCAAAGGCAGCGATCAGACGCAGCAGTTTGTGCAGCAGTGT